TCGTCAACGACATCTTCGAGCGCATCGCGGCCGAGGCCTCCCGCCTGGCCCACTACAACAAGCGCTCCACCATCACCTCCCGCGAGATCCAGACGGCCGTCCGCCTCCTCCTGCCGGGAGAGCTGGCCAAGCACGCCGTCTCCGAGGGCACCAAGGCCGTCACCAAGTACACCAGCTCCAAGTAAACGAGCTCAAAGCGAAGCCTCCTTCGCCCAGACCCAAAGGCTCTTTTAAGAGCCACCCACTTTCTCCAAAAAAAGAGCTGTTTCCTTTGCTTTTACTTTATGTTTAAAAAAATTTGCAGTATATACAGAACAAGGCAGTTTATCCCTAAAGTAAGTTATTTTAATTTCCATTTTAAATAAGATATGCTGGGGCCAGCTTGCCTTCCCCCCCCTAGCTGGTAAGGTCCATCCACTTTAATTTTCTCTTTGTCTTGGGGAAGGGGGTCTCCCAAAAGCTTGTATCATGCAAGCAAGGCTTAATTAGCAGTAAAGTGATCAATTAAGACTTGTAGCAAAATCTTCCCCCAAATAATATTTCCTGAAGATTTGGTTCCTCTTCTGGAAAAAACGGGGGGGGGGAGCCTAGTTGAGTTGTTTAATATTGCTTTAGACTTCTTTTTTTGTTCCTGTGTCAGGGTTTTGTTTTTTAAGCACTTTGCAAACCTCAAGAGATGCTGTTCTTAGTTTAGTGGGTGTTTCACTCTATAAATAAATCCACAAGTGGTGATGCTATTCTTTGGCTAGTTTAGGTTTTTCTCATGAGCAGAAGTAAGTAGCTTTATGTTCCCCAAAGTGCTAAATATTCCCTGCTTTTTATACGATCAGGTTTGTGGGAAGTCTCTAATTTTCTCCTTAACAAATTATAAAAATGTTCTTTTGGTCAGAGTTTGCTTTTGGAATCTAAAGAATGCAGAAAGAATTCCCTTTAAAAAGTGAGCTTTTCTAACCTGCCAAGAAGACTATGAGGCTCTTAATTTCAGACTGTAGAGCTGGGTTTTTTCTTCCTGTGTCACTGAATTTCGTTTTTGCAGCACCCTGCAAACATACTTTCTCAAAGAGCTTAAAAGTTTCGAAAAGATAAGTGTGTCTTGCATCCAAGAATGGATTGCTAATAGGTATCCTTCCTTATATAAGCCAGTTAAACCTTGTCACGTCTCCTCACTTTTTTGTTGTTCATTCATTTCTATTTGCATCGCAGACTATTCATTTTGCTCTGGGTTTGAGAGAAAGTGTACACAATACATAGTTTGGAGAGTGAAAGCATAAGCCTTTGCACACACATGCACACATTTGAAGTAAGCAAGAATGCACAAAGTTCCAATCAAATCCGAAGGAATCACTGAAAATAGTCTATACATCAAAAATAGTCTATACATCAATGCATTAAAAAAGCCATCCAAAAAGCAAGATTTGTTTCTTGTTTTAACAGTTCAAATTGAGTTTCCATTCTAAGAGGTGCAATAAAATAGTAGTAAAAGTTGTTGGTATTTTTAGCATCCATGTGTTTTACTTTAAAAATGGTTCCTCTCTGGCTGAATATTATTTCTGAATCTGTAGGATCCAGTTTTTCAAATCTAGGCCAATGATCCTATTAACTGTAACAGGTCTTTAATTTACCTATCATTATACTACTGTATGTATGTGTGGTTTGCTTTAAGCCTATCTGAAGCAGGTCCTTTTAAAAAAAAATACTGAAATTGAGTTAAAGCATTGAATAGTAATTGCTGAGCTAAGAATAATTCTATAACTATATGAAAACTTCAGTTGTGCTTTAGCTAAAGGACATTAACTGTTTTAAAGTCAGCAATTTGTCTACTGTAATAAACATGCTATGTCCCATAAATATGCTACACAATTCAACTTTTTAAAAAAAAATGGCATAGCCTGGGTGGGTTAATATTAATTGATTTTTTTAAACACTATATAGAAATTGCATATTTGGCTAAGAAGGACTTTAAGGAAAGTTTTCTGGAGCTGTTTTTCATATAGTTAAAAGAATGGCCCAAAAACTGATAGCTTATTTTAATCTAAAAAAATAGAGAAATTTCCTTTCTTGCCATAACTTTTAAACATCTGGTAAAATGTATGCATTTCCTTCCTTCTGATTACTCTGTAGAAGGAAGAGTACGTAAACAACTCTTAACTCAGTGTTTTGGCAGGCAAAAGGAATCAAGTCAGGCAGAAAATAGAGATAGACCTATTTAGACCAAAATAGCTCTTTCTTGTGTTTTTTTCTAGAGTGGGATCATCCATACCACATCAAGTTGACCCCTCAAATACAAGCATCATTTACATGCAGGGTATGAGAATTATTCGCTGTGTTGCTATTTCAGAAGAAAAAAAAACAATTAGAAATGTTCTCAAATATGCAAATTTTGGCTCTTCGTCTAATGTTTTCTTTCCTGCCCTGCGGAAATCTGCAGGATAGATTGGTTTGATACATGGGGAATCATATCCCGGGAATCATCTTAGTATAAAAAATATATTCAAGTCCCACTCATAGCTATCTAGGAATAGCTAGGTGCGTATTTAGTTTTCAGTTATTCAAGAATTCAAAATCGATTCCGAGTTGCATTTTATGGGCTTTTTTCAGCGGCTCATCTCCGGGAAATAATACGAAAAGCTCCTGAAATTGACTGCGAGCCTCAAATAAATCAATTTTCCAAAAAGAAAAAAGAAAAAAAACACCCACCGCTTTATGGATTTACTTCGCGCTAACAGAAAAATGTACCGATTGGCGTATTTGGAACTCGAGCGGCTACTTCTGATTGGACGAAATCGAACTAACCAGCCTCAAGGCGGGAAGGGGGTAACGTTCTCTTAGTTTTCCTTCTGGTCCGATTCCTGTGTATATAAGGCGTCAGCGCGCAGGCAATGAAATCAGTACGGTAATTTTTCTGGTTAAGGAAGGAGCGCGTTGCAGTCATGTCTGGTCGCGGAAAAGGAGGCAAAGGTCTTGGGAAAGGAGGCGCCAAGAGGCACCGGAAAGTCCTTCGCGATAACATCCAGGGCATCACCAAGCCTGCGATCCGCCGTCTGGCTCGTCGCGGAGGCGTGAAGCGTATTTCGGGCCTGATCTACGAGGAGACTCGCGGCGTCCTGAAGGTCTTCCTGGAGAACGTGATTCGCGATGCCGTCACCTACACCGAGCACGCCAAGAGGAAGACGGTCACCGCCATGGACGTGGTCTACGCCTTGAAGCGCCAGGGCCGCACTCTCTACGGCTTCGGCGGCTAAGTTTCTTTTTCTTTCTAATAT